TTACACTGAAGAAATCATTTTTGTTCTTGTTTTTAAATAATGTAAAATTACCTTATTTTCCCTTTCTATCTAGCTCACATTTCTAAGTTAGTTGCTTCTAATTTATTTGTAACACAGGTAATCTCATCCCAATCATATGACTGCTAGCAATGCACTCCAAGCGCATTAATTTAATCATATTAATGAGAAAAGGATTTATCTAACACACATGTGCATGCATGCATTTAAGATGTATGTCCACACACGTGTATATACAGAGAGACACATTTTCTCATGGATCTTAGCTTTGTTTTTAGTACTCGACTATGCATATTAAATGCCTGAGAAGTTAGTTCATTTTGTTTGCCGCATAACCTGACTCTCATTTAGCAACATTCATATTGTCTGATTTAAATGTGTGTCATTTTAATGGCCACAAGCTGTGCTCATATGGATCCAGTGCAGGACTGAGCCTACTTATGGAGATTAAAAATTGCAGAGCAATGCCATGGTAGCTTTTTGTCAGAAAACTTCTGACTACAGTCGTAATGACAAACAGGTAACATCCACCTGCAGAATCCAGCCTTGTTCGTCGTAAATCCTCCTCAAAAACTGTGGGGCCTCAGACCTTTGTGATCAATCAGCTCACAGTTAAAGGGTGATGGATCCATTTAACGTTTAGGTCACAAGTTCAACCATAGGCAAAAGACGCTGCTGTCTGCATTTTAATGACTGGTTATTTGGGTCACATTTTCAGAAAACTAATACGGGCAAACGTTTGCAAACATTAAATGCGCATATGCCTGAGGACATGACTTTGCAGGGGACTGCCTTGGTGGGGTAAGATGACCTCGGCTCTGTGATGCTTCAGCAGGATGTATCTTATATTCAAGGGAACTTACTAAAAGCTAGCTTCAGTATCTCTATGGCAAACAGCAACCATAACAGTCTCCATAGCAGAGCAAGTGGATTAACAAGGATTTTGTATCACCAGCCTTCCACACATTATATTTAAAAGGCTCATAGAAAGTATGGGCACTAGGGACAGCAAATGTCCTACCCAAAAGAATCATGCCTGTAAAAATAAATGTAGTAACTTTGAAATGTCAGATACTATATTTTGATGCTTGGCTTTATGGAGTCTATTCCCCTTGACTGGCTGCTACAGAGAAGTCTACTGTTAGCTATTAGGCCAGGTCTGCACTTCAGTTTTTTATAGGCACAGCTACATGTGTTGGGTGGAGATGAGGGAATTACATCCCAAATAAGGCTGGCAGTGCCAGCAAAAGTCCTGCTGCTAGTATAGTTCATTGTGTTTGAGCAGCTAGTATAAACATAATCAAAACAGGCCCTTTCATGATACGAACTGTATACCCATCTGGAAGGCTTGCTTTCTTAGCTTAGCATTTTCTCATTTGCAGATAAGGACTGTTCTGTGGTGTCAGGCAGGAGCTTATAAGCATTTTCTCAAATTCTCTGTTATGAATCGTTGTGGACCACCCAACAAAAACCACTATTACAATAATTTTATTTCTATGTAAAAACAGGGATACTCCCAGAAGAATGGCTAGAAGTGATGCCAGGAAATAGCATACTAGCCCAAAGCAGTAATAACAGAGATAACTGAGATAATACCTCCTGCATAGCTGAATCTCTTCAGAACTTTATCCAGGTTAAAAAAAAAAAAACAACAAAAAACACACACAAAAAACCCCAACCAAGTAAAAAACCCCAAAGGAACAAAACTGTTTTCTCCCCACTAAAATTTCTTTCATTCTCATTTTCATCAGTATATTTCCAGCTGTTTCTATTACGGAAGCTGGTCCAAAAAAAGGCCATTTTTATATGTGGAAAATTAATTTCTTTCAGTCTGTTTGTTCGGTGAAGAAGCTTGACTGATTTATTTCCATTGTCATTTATCTGCAGAGTTCCCTGAAGTGACTGCAGTTCCTACTGAGCTAAATATTCTCCGAATCTCTAACGTGTTTTTGTTTTTAGACCCACCATTTTATGGATGAAATCTGGGCTGTTCAGCTATTTAACCATCTGTTACCTTCCAAATTAGATTCTTAAAATGTCTAGGTGCAGTCTCAGAAATGGTAATGAGCATTTAAAATTCTGCTCCACAAAATCTTACTCCTTGCAGTCATTTGAAGTTATTATCGGAGGAAGTCAGGATGGAAGTCCAAGCAATCTTTTCGTTTATTGGAATATCATTTACCATGCTGCACAGATGTCCACATACAATCTGCCCATCTGTCAAAGCTTACATTTACACAGCCAAAGAGATTTGAGTGTAGATTCCTGTCTTACTCCAAATCAGTCGTTCGGTGTTGATGTCTGTTTATTTTATTACTTCGTTTATCATGAGAAATAATTTTTAAAAAATCGATCTGAATAATTTCTGCAGGGGATTTTCAGGCTTCTTTTTTCTCTTCTTAAAATTTCTGTAGTTGTCTTCTATTTCTCCCTTGCTGTCTCAAAAGAACACCTCTTGCATTTTCCCACTTTCTCAATAACAGAGCAGACATACAACAGGAGAGGGAAACGTCAGTATTGTCCAGAAGAAGGGCAGATGTTAGTAACTGTTTCAGTGCGCTGTTTTGCTTTGGTTCTCATGCAGTTGGAAGCATCTGCATCATCTTGTTTGAATTCCATAATCTCTTTTGATTTGATTCCTCCTTCCATTTTTTAGTTTTCCCTAACTTCAAAGAAATATTGTACCTGGAAGTTTTCTGGAGTCTTCCTTCACAAGATGATTTTGTCACATTCTCTTTACAGCATTAGGACCTTGGTAGCTGCTTTCCATATCGTTAGTTCCAGCGTGTCAGGACCTGTAACAAAAGAGCCGGCTTGGCCAACAGCTCTTTGGTGTTACAAAATTATTTCTGATGACTCACTCCAATGAGAAATGGTTTGAATCCTGCCGGCAGTATCCTGCAGCGGCAGGGCTCAGGTTAGACAGCCTCCTTCAGCACTCAGGATGCCGATCAAGAATGAAGATTTATCCAGAGGACAAAATCAAAGGACTTAAGTTGCTCATATTGTTGGCACTGAAGAAATGCTTAAAAAAAGTATGATTTGACCATATAAGTTGAGGCAATGCCAGGATGTCAGCCTGTGGGTAGGGGTCTGCATCGACATCAAATGGTCCCATGGCTGGGCAGCAGCACGGCTGTGACAGCCCACGGGCAGGGGCTCAGGGCCAGCAAGGGCTGGTGATGTCCTCAGGGCTCCAGCAGGGAATATCTTCTGAAGAAGCCACCTGCCAATTGTATGTATTTATGTATTTTAATGGATTCATATTAAAAAATAACCTGTCAGGGTCTTGGAATATTATCCATCTAAGGACCCCATCCAACGGTGGACTTAGCTAGGTTGGCTGAGCAGCCAGGGCAGGGGAAGGAGAGGTGGTTGGATGAGGTGACACTCAAAGATCTGTTCAAATGAGAGATAAAATGCTACTCTAATAACATTAATGGGAAAGCTTCATGCTGTTATCTGCTTTTCCTTTCCAAACACAGGTTTGTCATAATGTTTTATAGGGACAGTTTTGCTTTAGAAGCCATTCGCTATTTTGCATTCCAGCCTCGTTTTATCTTTTCCGTCAGACACCAGCTATAATTAAGTTCAGAGACTTACGTGAAAATCCTCACGGGAATCAAAACGCTTCTACTTTATGCTCCTGCACTGATTTTTATCTGAGGATCGCACAGTGTTTTACCACTGATAGTTAATCTTTCCAGGAGCTCTTTGACACAGGCAGGAGCTATTATTCAGGAACAGTAATTAATGTGAAGAATGCCATGAAGACGGACAGCACCTGTTGAGAAGAGAGGGCTGAGCTGAACTCAGAGCGCCATCGCGCTGGAGAACCTCTGACAGCCCCTCTCTGTTCCTCAGTTTCCCCACTTGAACAATGATGCCTTTCTTGCTGTGAAGTGTTCAAGACTTACCAAGAAAAACACTTCATCAAAGAGTTAGGTATTAAGCCTTCTAGACAGAATAATAAATGGATGCAGATTAAGAGGCTTACTCGACAGAGCACAGTAAAACATTTCTGCTTAGGGAAGCCATGGCACGTCGTGAGTTTTTGCGGGTTTGTGCAGGCTGATCTTGTATTTGGTGTGCAAACACAAGGGCGGTGACGTTTCAGTCTGGATGAAAACTAATGGATACATACTCTGCAAAGAAGTGTGTCATGAAGGCTGTGTATTAAAAGGAAAGTGGCAGATTGTAGAGAGTGAAAAGTAAAACTCACATGAATAACTGTGTGTGTTCAGTTGGAAGTCGTATGCTTCAGTTTATACATTTTAAACATTTTCCCATTTTATTTACCTGCTAACTTCAAAGGTCAGGATGCTAATTGCCCTGCTGTGACATTTAATGACATCATTGTCACCTAGCACAGAACAGGAGGGGTTCTCTTCTCCCCTTTCAGATTTTTTAAGGCACAGTGGAAACTAAATTAGGTAAACACATCTTTTATATCATTTACTGCTGGCACATGTTACAGGAAGAATTAAAAAAAAACTTGATTCATGTTACAAGTGATCACAAGGCAGGCTTGCCAGTAAAGCTGCTCTCTGAAGCTGAGCTAGCAAAGCAATAATGAAGATATTAAAAGTTCTCACCTAATGATTCTGGTTTGCAAGTACACTGCTGAATGCTACTTTCAGCTGTCTCCTGGCAATAGCTCTTGTGCCCTGTAACAGGCAACCAGTGTTCTTCAAACATGTCTGCACAGCGGCTGTATATGGATAACGTGAGAGAGCAGTTCCTCTTTGCACGACCTGAATGAATAGCTTCTTTGAATTAAATGAGCCCACCTCGCATGGTCACTCAGGACTGCACGGCACAGGGACAACAGCTGACAGCTTGCTCTGCGCCTGCTGCTGTTTGGATGGGTTTTTCTTTTGCCTCTTACTGGTGTTCTGGCTCTGTCCAGAGCCCTTGGACCTGGAGGTCATGGAAACCTGCCCACTGACTTAGTCTCTTTCCTTCTGTCACCTTCCTTCTAGGTCAACATGATTTTGATTTAGCCGATGCTCTTGATCACCCAGGTAAGTAAATCTCCTATCCTTATTTTACTGGCATTTAGACCCAATTATAAATCTTAAGTCCTTTTCCTTGAGGACTGGAATATGAAGTGGCTAGTACTTAATTTAAAGATAGACAGAACTGGGAAATGTTAGATTTCAATGTTTCTGTCATAAAATTAAAATTTTCTTCAAAGCAAAAAAATAATGGCTTTGAAAACATACCCCTTCAGTTTTAGCTTCTGTCATGATATGTAAAGATTTATTGAATGAGGCTCTCTAGATCTGCAGATACCTTCTTCTGATAAGCTGAGAAGGTTTAAGCTCTTGTTGTTTACTGGTATGTCACTGTGTCCCACAGATGACATAATAACCAGGAAGCCTACAGTGATCAGAAGACCGACAAGGCCTGTGCTGAGTGAGTAATGAAGCCAACGGGTCATAACTGATTTTAGATATGTAGAAACTGTCTCCCATGAGATTCTTGATCATATTTGCTAATGTACCCTAACTGAGATAATCTGTGTGAATACTGGTTGTCTTCTGTATGTAAAGTAAGTGTTTTTTGGACAATTACCAATTACATGTCTTTACTGCTTCCTGTAAGGCGTTAGAGCATGACTAGCCACTGATGGCATTTTATTTCCTGAAGATCTTCTTCACGCTTTTCCAGCCTGCATTGAACTCCCTGGAGAGTATAACCATGGGTAACTGTTGCTAAAAATGGGTGACTGTCCTTCTACTTTTTTTTCCATTATCTTTTGTTTTAGCATAAATATTCATGATGCTTCATAACAGGCTTGGAAAAGAATCAGAAGGAATTTGGGTACTCTTTCTTCTCCCTGTGTATTTACTTAATATTATCTAGTATTGATTGCTACAAAAACCTGTGTCTGAAAGGGAAAAAGGCTCTGAACAGTGGAGAGATCCAAAAGGTTTTAGGGTTTTAGCTGTAGTCCTGAGGATGACAAATTACAATTTCTAGTGAACACTCACTGCTGAAAAAGCCCAAACCCCAAACAACAACAAAACCACGCATGCATTTATGATAGAACATTTTATGATAACATAGAGATTTTTCAACTAAACTACAATGAAAGAAATTTCTGGCTATCAAACAAAATGCTTGAATCGGGAAATGCTGGATAACATTAGCCCACACAACAACTTACAGTCTTTTTCTGGATAAACATTGCAACAAGTCTTTAGGCACATGAAAGCAGTTACATTTTCCACACAATTCTCTGGCTTGCTCTTCGAACAAACAAGGCGGCGTTTTGCAAATGTGGTAGCTACTAAATCCTGTAACGGTTGCATTCTTCCTTCCCACTTCATTTTGCAAAGAAAATCTGTGTTTGGCCTAGATAGAAGTGTCTGTTGTAAAGTACTGCTAAGCCACTGCCTTCTACTTAGCTAACTGTCCTGACTTCCTTTAAAGTCCGTGGAGAGAAATCAGCATGTCAAGGAATGGTTTGCATCACTCTAAATGTGGATTTGTTCTCATCCTAATATAGACATTTTAAGTAGGTTACTTGAATCGTGCCCTAAAAGACTCTGTCCGCAGTCGTGTTTAAAGGTAACCTAGGGATGCCAATCTACAGTGAAGCTGCCTCAGTCAGGTGAAAGGCATTTGAGTTTTAGGGACTTCTAAATCTGTTAGAGAGATGACCCTCAGATGATTATCTGCCCTACCTGAACCAACTTCACTAGTTCTTGGGAATGAAGAACTCCATGTTTTCCAGACCATTTTGGAATCTCTTTCAGCAGTGAAGAGGATTGCAGGGAGTTTAAAAGCATTTAAAACTAATTTAAAAAAAAACCCCAAACAAACAGTGTTAAAAATCAATTACTGGATTTGGAAACCTGTGCAGAAAGATGATACAAAAGTATGTCCTAGCATCTGCCTGATGCTTCATCTTAACCTCAGGGTTTCCTCTATGTCTCATTCAGCCAAGTATCGTTGAGAAATGAGGCTGGCTGAGATGATGATTTTGGTTGAGCTGGGGCCAATTACTGTACAGGCCATGTCCTCTGGGCATCACTTCCCACATAGAAGCCTCTGCCTGAGTCGAAGCTCTCCTGTAGGCACCTCCCATCTAGTGTAACAAAGATCAACACAAAACTTAATGGAAAGAGAGGGTGATGTTTATTTACAAAATTTCTAAATAAGTTGATTTTACCCACTCACATTCATCCTGCCATTGATTTAATTCAGCCATACACTCAAACCCACATACTCATGAGCGCCCAGATGTGTGCGCTCAGGGGGTCTGGCGAGCATCATGTGCCACACGGGACAAGTCCTTATCCTGTCTCTGTGGTTCTTCTTGATCAGAAATGACAAGCTAATTTATATACAGTTCTTTTATACCCTTTAGGAGTCATCAGCTGTTACGGAGAGGTCCTTTGTCTCATAATCTTGCTTACTTCAGTGTCTCTGAAGCCTAGGCTAGGTTGCTGCCCACTGTCTGGTTTTGCTTGTTTGGGGTACACAGGCGATGTCTACAGTCTGTCTTCTGGGTGGGCAAACAGGAAAAGTAATGGAATAGGTGACATGCTGCAACCTTTGGCTTTAGAGCGCTCTTCTGCTTTTCCTCCGCTGACAAGTCATCTGTGCTGTCATCTTATCGGAGCGCAGGCCTGCTGGTTTTGACAGAAACAACACATTCCTCAATTTTACTGCTGGGAACAGTGACCTTTATTGTCTGTTCTTTCAACCCTTTGCTCTGCTGTTTCTTCTGGTCCCTACAGACACATTCATGTCCATTTATATTTCATTCATATCAACCTTAGTATTTCTGCAACAAATCTCTGCATGAACCCTCCAGAGTGCAACCCTGCATTTTACCTGAATTCTTCATCTCAGTAATAAATTGAATCCAGTTTGCAATTTGTTGCTTCTTACAGTGTTAGTATTTGACACATAAAGGTATTTTTGAAATGCAACTCTGCTGGCCAGACACAGATAGGATCAACACCTGGCTTGACAAGAACAAACCGAGTCATGAATTTGATTATTTTCCTGCCAGATTTTCCTGGTGACATCAAAGCATTTCTGAGTTGTTGCACAAACGAGACTAGATACTGTGCAAAAGCAGCTCTCCACTCCCTCTGGATATAAAGAAAACATGAAGGCAGACTTCTGCACGGTGATGCATTTGGATGGATTTTCCTGGGTTTCAGGAATTCTGACACAATTATAATGAAAAAAAATATATTTAATTGAGTGTCTATCTAATTTTCTGTGGCAATAAGCATCGGTATCAAAATTGAGGAAGATTTTGCTGTCCCTTCTGATTCATTCCAGCAGTCTGCATTTATAAGGAGCAAGAAAGGGATCCTTGGAGTTATGACATGCATTTAATGTATTTCTGCCTATTACTCAATGACCTTTCAGAGCTCACCGTCATTCCATACACACCCTAAAATATCACCCACGTACTCATATACCTGCACATCGGAAATGGAGTTCCTCTTGTTTATGCATCTGCAGCTCATTGACAAATTGTTTATTGGAAGGACAATTCCATCTCATGTACAGCGAGATGTGTACAGTGCCGGGGCAATGGCAATAGCCTGTTGATTCACAGCATAACCTCCACATGCAGACATTTAAGTATATTTTAAAACCTTTATAGCTCAGCCAAAGAAAAACAAGACTGTCACCCAACCTCAGACAGGCACGTATGATTGCTTGAAGCAAAAATTTTTATGTCACCACGACCCTTACATAAATGAGTTGATTCAATTCTCTCTCTCTAGGTAGGTTTATTACTTCCCAGTATTTGTTCTTGAAACGAGTATTCAGTTTTTGCAGTTCAACAAATTACACTTGAGCCAAATATGCATATACCAGTTTTAACCACAGACATAAATGTTAATAAATAAGTCTATTTAAAAAAATAGATATATTTTAGTATCTTAATATAGCTAATTTTATTTATGTACTTGCAAATATATTACAGCTATTATATTCATTACATATTATTGATCTTATTAATACATATAATATTGATACTATATATTATTGATCTTGATTGCATTATGAGATTTATTCTGAGCTTATTTAAAGCAGGAATAAATCTTTCCTATTTTGAGTAGAAAATACTGTATCATTTGTCAATTATTGTGTGGGCAAATATTAAATTCTATACGAGTTTTCAAGAAAAGCGTAACACCTTCTTTGAATTTGTGGGACTGACCTGAAAAAGTTGCTTGTCAAACATTCACTTGTACATTTTCTACTAAAACTAACATCTCACTGCCCTCAAGAATTGTGTGTAACTCACGTCTCTACATCTTCCTCCTTTTCCTTTTTAGACAATGATCTGCATTTAGGAGATGCTCTTGGTGGCGGTGAGTACTCTCTTCTTTTCTCAAATATAATGGTTGGGGGTTTTCGTAGTCTTTTTCTGAAGTCTGCCTAATTTGTGAAGAGAGATTTCAAGACTGTAGGAGGAACTGTAGTAATGGGAGTCGTTACAACTCATGTACGTGCAGCCCTTTTGCCAGAGGCCATCCGGCAGAGCGGGCCAGCAGGATGGGCTGTGCCTGGTTGCCAGCTATAGGAGCTTGCAGGCTGGCCCAGCTGCGTGAACTAAGTCAGCTGCGGTTCCCATGGCCAGGCCAGGCCACCACAGTCGTGGCTGGCGCGGGAGGTACTGCCCATTCAGCCGTGATGGCTCGGGGGGTGGCCTCTGGCAGAAGGCTGAAGACAACAGGTGATGGCAGTACTTTCTACAGCTACCAAAAATGAGTCTGCCTAAGGTTAGGAATCAGGGGTAACAGTGGGTAGAGAGAGGCGTGAGCTTGTTGTAGCTCTGCGGCTCCCAAATCAGAAATGCAGGAAGGAACGTTTCAGAGATGAGCACTGATGGATACAACATAGCTTAGGCTTGAAGCAGTCCAGCTGTTGTAACCTGCTATAACTTCCAAGTATTTCTATAACAACCAACCAGACCTGACCCAGAAAGTATTCACCGTACTGTGCTGAGCTGTGTAGACATACGAAACCCTTGACTTCGGGAATTTTTGCACCACATTTTGTTTAGCATGTTTGGAGGTATATACCAAGGGTGTGATTTACTCTAGAAAGGTTCTTGCACACTGGAATTATCTAAAGTGCAAGAAGTATTGAATCAAAGCTTAAAATTCCACTTGAATCAAGGCTACACAAAAGAAAAATTACTTCTCAGCCCATTGCACAGAACCTCTGAATTATGACTCCAGTCACAGTGGTCTGGTTTACTCATGTTTCAGTCTTGCATTGTTCTTTCCTGTTTCCAGGGCTTTCCGCATTTCCAGGTTCCCCTGTGGCATTTCATGCCTGTGTTTGAATGACATGTTAGTCCACACTTTATAAAGCTGAATCTAATTTTGTTTATAATTCCTATGTTTATAGTGTTATTTCTTCCTGCCTGTACTAATTGTTTCATGTCTGCAAGTTTTTTAATGAGTACTTTTATGAGAGGATGGGTTTAGTATGTTGATTAAATTATTAATGAATAGCCTAAGTATCTTCACTAAACCCCACCTTTTCATTCAGAGAATGGCAAATGATGTTTCCCTCAGTTTTTGTTTCTTTGTTCCATTTTCAGTTCGGGTTCTTAATTGACATTCATACATGGTATAATGGAATTAATGATACGTACCTCATTATTGATAGTTCTGAAGACATTATTTCACTAGCTATGCCACAGAATATATCTTCTTATGCTTAGAGAAGACTGAATAAGAGCAGCATCATAACAGAAATTAATAACGGGATCGGTAGTTTTCTACTTTTGTGCCACAGTGAGTCTTAGTTTGTTACACAGAGCTTCGGAACAGAACAAGTCTCTTCTGTTGAATCGAATTAATTGGGCAAGGTCTGATTCAGCAAAGCTTTAAGACTCTACCTAAAATCCACTGACTGCAGTACACTAAACTTGTCCAAAGTTTATGCCTGAAGCATATATCTAAATTATTTGCTGAATCAGAACCTAATCATTACTCACAAACAGAAGCATTATATTTAGCAGCTAGGTAAGAAGAAAACATGATAAAAGGGTGTCTGGAAGGTGAAAGAAGGATTAAAGAGAGAGAGGGAAATTGGTATTTATTTCTGTGACCTAACTTTGATTAATTCAGAGCTAAATTCACTGCCTGACTATGAGAATGGTTAAATATGCGACTGAAACGGTTGGAGAAAGAACGGCAAGAGGGGACCTACTCTGTATACACAGAGCAACAGCCCTGGGCATTAACTTTGGCAGGTTTTGACCCAAGTCAGCTCTTGCTACTCCAGCACTGCATGTACAGTTTGGAAAATGCTATTAGTCTTCAGGTCTCCTGCTCTATGCAATGCATCTTTTCCCAATACTTTGGCAAAAATTAAGACCAAATACCAGCACAAAGTCCTAAACAAAAAAGCTGAAGTCTGAGTTCATTTTGCACTGTTCAAGAGCAGAAAATTGATCACGCGTTAGATGAACTCAGCATCTGTTAGATGGATCTTAGTAATACCTGCTGGTGGCACAGAGGTAACCTGTTGCCTCCTGCCCGGCCCAGAACACGTTCTCTGTTGGCTCTGCATAACTGCACCACTGACACCTACAGTAACACACTGTGCTTCCCAGCTGTCAGCACTAAGCAATGTTAGCACTTGCCAGAAATACATGAAATGTTTTCCTTCAACATTTTTGTGAATTCTTCTCTCATTGTAATTTTGAAAATATTCCCTTTTCACTTTCTAATTAGTTTTAGTAGCTAGCTATTTGTTGATAGAGTGCTTGAGACTTTTTAACTAGTGACAAGGTCCTTTTCTTAATTCAACAGAGGACAGATTAGAAACAGGTATAAGATCTCAGGTTATCATACTCTTTATTTACAGCTCTCAGTTTTGCCTGTCCAACCATCTAACAATATTAATTATCAATAGGTGACGTGCCAAGAAAACCTTTATACCCACCTCTTCCACCACGACCAGGAAGCCATAGTAATTCTGGTAAGAATGTTTTCTCCTAAGAAAATCTAGCACTATGAACTATTCAAACCAGATATTTTGGACAGTATACTCTCTTATTTCTTTATTAAAAGTTTTTATCATCCCTTCCTTCCATCTCCCTTTTGTAATCACTGTTCCTGACCCAGTGTTTGGAAAGATTTTTCTGAGTTTTAGTGTTGGTACCATAAAGCTTTTCTGTCTGCCCAAAATGTGGGACAGTGACATAAGACTAACACTCATCTTGTTTGCCTTTCCGTTTGGGGTATATATACACTGAACCTTGCTAGGGTTCAAATTTGACCTCTAGCCACAGGGTGTGGATAAGCCTGTGTTCAAACCCATACTGAGATGTGCATCTGAGATGGGCCTGGGGCATACAACAGGTGGGACTGGGGAGATGGATGTAAGCCTGTATTGCTTTGGAGTGTGGTCCCAGACACCCACTTAAATAAAAGTGGAAGTGGCACATCTATCCTAGCTACCACCATGTATCCCGTATTTACTTGTGGTATGATTGTAGTGGTGAGCTGCGGACATGTTCTTCTGGAGTCCTTCTGGAGTCTTTCCTGGAAAGGACCCACTGAATTCCTGCTCCAGGAACTGCTGGGATTTGAGATGTCCATATTACCATAGAATCATAGAATGCTTTGGGTTGGAAGGGACCTTTAGAGGTCACCTAGCCCAAACCCCCTGCAGTGAGCAGGGAATATTATATATGGATTTGTGCTACCGAGAGCTCAAGCGCACACATCCCACAGATGCCAAAACAGATGCAGAATGAGTAGACACCAACAGTTTTAGTACTGCAGCTTCCAGGTGAATTTGAATAGGTGACCATTCAGTGCAAGACAACTGACCCATCTGCTGTGTCGAAGCTGGGATTTCAAGGGCCCTCACCCCTCCCTAGTACATTACAAAAAGACTGGACAAGGGAGCTGAAGAGGTTACCATTGTTCAGATAATTTTGCTACAGAAATCCTAATCTTTATCTTGCAGGAGGTTTTGATGACTCAGATCTTCTTGATGGGAAGCCTTTACCACCACACATAACAGGTAGTATTTGCCAATTCTCCTCGCAGCTTCTCCCTAATACTTGTTACTCGGAGCTGGCTGGTTTTGCTTTAGTGGTAATCTGTTTGTCGCTGAAGGTATAGGACGAGACTCTGCTATTTTTATTTAGATCAGTTATCCTTCTCCACAAACCATGGCTTTGAGCCTGAAGCTCAAACTTGACACGTATTCCTAAACATTTTGTAGCGTTCTGGCACATGCCAGAACCTTGCAGGATTAATTCCTCTGAATTCAGCTAGGACAGTCCCAAAGCAAGGGGCTTCTGCTGAGAACTGAAAGTAGATGCACTGGGCCTATGATCTTGACTTAAGTTATTAATAAATCATCTGATTGGCAGTAGAGAATAGCCAGAATATACTGGCCTCCCGCTCCATGTGAAATGAGCTTGACGAAGACTCCTAAACGTTATCCGTGCTTTAGAAGATAATATTCTTCTCCAAAAATGAAGTGTCAGGAGGATGGACAGTTATTCCTCCAGCCAGCGCAGCTGTCAGTCAGGACTGGAAAGGGAGCTCCTCTCTCACAGCCCTGCAGAGCCGCCCCCTTTCATCTTCTGTACAAAATCACACTTTGCTGAGTAAAGACTTTGTTCTCAAAACAAGATGAAAAACATTTCTTGATGAAACTTTACCCTCTATTCCAGGAGAAGAGGACCATCATTTCAATCATGGAGGAGGAAACACAGGTAAATAATTTATTCTAGAATTTTTTTCTGATCATCATAAAATAGTAAGAAAATGTTAGCCTTATAAAAGTAGTACATACACTAAATTAGGCTTTAAGACACTCTTTTCACACCAGCTGTAACGTAACAAAATTTCTAGTCTTCTGCTTAATTCTGTTTAATGAATTTCCAATGTTTTACCAAACAATCTCATAGTTTGACAAAAGCACACCTTAGCAGAGAATATGCTTAAGTCCAACCATTTCAGTGCCTCTGAAAAAAATGTCTCTCTTTTTCCACAGATTCAGGATTAATAGCTGGAGTTACATCTCCTATAATTTCTGCTTTTGTAATATTAGTTGTTGGATCGATAGCAGCCTATTCCGCTTATAAGAACAAGAGACTTTGTTTCAAACCACATGGTAAGACCGAATCGGTTTCCAGCTTTCCAAGTTGATTTAGCACTGGAGCAGATGGGAATTTTACAAACAATTTCAGTGGGCGCAGAAATAGGTCAGTGGTGAGGGCATTGGAAAATCTCGTCCTAAAGAACCTCACTGGTCTATAAGAGATACTGGTAATTAATGTTCTTCATCAAGGAGTACAGAAAGCCATAACATGCCCAGGAGATGGATGCACATCACTTTATGAAGGAAATTACATGATGTGAGGTCTCTGCCACCACAGAGGTGACTGACTGTCGTGGCCCGCTGTGTGGAAACCAGATCAGCCTCGCCTGGGGCATCCCCATGTACCCTCTGGCCAGGGCCCCCATTTCAGCTCTGGCCTGGGTGGGCCTCCTGCCCCGGCCTGCGCCACGTCCCTGGCACGTCTGCCCCGGCCGGGAGCCCGGATGGCTGCCTGGGTTTCCTGGCTTGGCCTTGGGCCGGGCTGGTTGCCTGTTCTTCATCTGATGATGGCTGGCCCAGCCACGGGGCCCATTCGCCATCCCTGCCCCTCTGTGCTGCTGGGGAGGCGACGGCTCGGGGCTCCCCGCCGGCGGCCCCCGCCGCCCGCTTTCAGCCGGGCCGTGGCCCTTGGCTGCCACAGAGGTCAATTTAAACCCCTAATTTGTGTAATTTGTTCCATAATGGGACTAACAACTAAGACATGAGCGAAACGCAGGTGTGTGGAGAAGCTTCACAGGCATTTCTGAGAGATCTGGGATCCCCTGGCGCTTCAGAAAGCCTCGGCCCGGGGCTGCCATAGCGGGCTCCGGGATGGCTGCTGCTGGCCGGGCGCCGGGGGAAGGCGCGGGCAGGGTTACACAGCGGGGATCCAGCCGGAGCACGGCCCCGGATGCCCTGGGGGAGGCCAGTCAGGGCCGTGAAGGCTGTTTGTGCCCTCAGGGTCTGACAGTCGCTCATTTTCCTCTGTTTCTATGGCCGGGGTGTAACTAAAGCATCAGGTCAGTGATCCTGCTGTCCTCTGAAAATGGGGAGTGAGGCAAACGGGGAACGTTGTCTACGCGTCTCTGGGGATAGGAGGTTCCCACCTGCTGCCTCAAAAGGGATGGAGCAAAAAAAAGCCCAGACGAGCTGGCAAAGGGCATCCGTGGTGGAAATGCTGAACGCTCAATCTTCATTTTTCAGGTGGAGCTACAGTGTAAATCGCTGAAAGAAGAGTTGCCCTCTCATCACAGGCTCCTTTGGTTGGTGACGTTCAGCCCACAGATCCGTCAACTTTTTTCTACTTTACCATTCTGACAAAAGAAAATCTTCCTCTACTGAATGCTTTGTTGAGACATTGCAGTCCTGCTCTCCTTTACCTGACGTTGTTCTTGCACCTTGAGCTTTACGTCACCAAAGATGTGTTTAAAACGTCTGCGGATGGTATTGAACGATCCGACCTGCATTCATAGAGGTTGGATTCACATTTTGATTCAGAAGTTATTTTAAACAACAAAGAAATCAAGTTTAATATAAGCTAAAAATGGAAAAATTTTGGTTTGTGAGCATTTGAGTCACCGAACAATTTTTTTTTTCCTGTTTTCAAAATTAGCCAAAATACTTAATCCTTCTGATGATAGAATATGAATAAGGAAATTGCCATTTCCATTCATATATGTTGGGCTTCTTTAGTATATTTCTGTATTGTCTGTAATGTTTAAGGAAAACTTGAAGTTGCATAAAGGATTACAAATTTTAATGCCTTTACTTTGTATTTATGTCTGAATTCTAGCAAAGTGAAAGGAGCTGCAGATGGAAAATTCATTCTTAATTTTAAAATACAGTATGAAAAGAATATGTACATTGACAAACCGCTGTTAAAAAAAAATAAAAATGAAAGGAATACATGCTGATTTCATTTATGTATTTATTTATTTATTACTGAAATGGTGTTTAGCTCTTCTTGGGAACTGGAATTTGATGTAAATTTGGTTCTCTTCTTGAAAACTTAGGTCCTGCTCTAGGACTCTTTAAAGGCATTAATCTGGCAGGCTCGTTTTTTTAAGAACCATATTATTCATAATTTCTGGAAAGGGAAAATAGGTACAAAGTTTTCAGAATCATTTAGAACGTCTGTGACACCTTGTTCTATAAAATCTATGTCACACCAGCTTTTAAGCATATAAACATATGCGGAGGTATGGTTGATACGGTTTTGCTAGCAAGGCTGTTTCATCTTTTGCCCTTGTTCCTGATCAGCCTTGCTGTGCTAACAAATGTCCGTATGTAGACAAATCTATCAACAAAAACTAATACTTTTCCAGTCTCCCTGCCTTCATTTAGCTAACTGAATTAAAATACTAGCAAATGAACAAAATGCAGATGAAAGCTGGCAAAACTAGTAGTTTACTGCCATAAACCTGTAGTACAGCCATTTTAGCTAACTCTTTAAAGCACAGAGGAAATCTGTGTTTTTATCTTCATCTTATAAGTGAAGCATGCTTTTTCTTACTGAAATTCCATGTAGATGGAGGTAAACATGATTTTCTGTTTATTAAATTGTTGAAAGACATAATCTGAAAAAATAGTATTTTCATAAAATAAAATACTATTCTACCTAAATTATATTTGAAATGGATATATATCAGTTGCTGAGGAGATTACCATAATCTTTATTTTGATCCTGAAAGTAAGAAACAATAATGTACACCAGTTTAAATACGGAAACATCTTGACAACACACAAACGAATGAGCACCTTTGTGGCTATCAGATTTGACTTACGAATGATAATATGTTTTTAATATAGTTTTCAAGGACACTTGATATTTCTTTAAAAATATTAATTTTCCATGTTAATAGTTAAAACAGATTGATATATATTTTGCCAGGTAGACATAAAGTTTTGATTAATGAAATGTTAAAGTGTTTTGTGGTTACCACTTCGGTTGTTTGTTTAATAATGAAAATACACTTTGCTTCTTTCTCTTGAAAATTTTCAATAAACACATACTATGTTTTATTGAAGGTGATCTGAATTTTGTTTGTTTTGTTTGTTACTTTCCGGGACATATGAGGGCTGATACCTTTTATACACAAATTCATCTATGTCCTGCTAGGGAAGAGAAAGAAATGCTTCAAATTAAAGACTTTAGGGGAAAAAAGAAAACAGTGTAAGAATCTTCTTTTTTTTTTTTTTTTTTTCAGAAGCAGTGTCCAGAGAAGGACCTATATGCATTATTAACATTTTTGCTTTTGAAATATTAAAACAATTTATTTACATTTGCTCATAGTATTTTCAGAAGAATTTCTTACTTGTGTTAATATAATTAGCCAAAAAGCATAATTCATTATGGAGGATTCGAGCAAACCCCATGAACCTCAATTGGTAAACCCTGCCCACCCTAGTGTTTAACCCTCTGAAGCTCTTCGGTCTATTTACATCAACATACAACCAATATACTGGTGTGCAGGCACACTTTTCAGTGTTAATTTCCCTTTTAACTGTGATGACGATGATAAAAAAGATCAATTATTGTAATAATAATTATTTCAGATAATTGGGCGATTATGTAGGGAAGCTCTAACGTATTTAAATCTGGAGGGGGAGGGAGGAGTATAAACTAGCTGTTAGACCATCAGAAGTCTAGCTTGTATTATTGGCTCTGACATTGAAAATCTATTCTATACCACAAAAATGTTGCTGGCACACAAGTAAAATAGAAAATCATCTAAATGTAGACATCACTTTTATTACCAAGAGAATGTTTTTGATTATAAAGTCCCCCAACTGAAATAGATCTGCCAGTAAAATTATCTACAGTAGTGATCTTGCTACTCATAAGCATATTGTTTAGTTGACCCGCCTATATAAGCAGATGATGAACACATTTCCCAAGAATTTTGTTTCTGCGGGATAAGTAAAGCTTGATTTCCTCTACATTTATGTCCTTCCTTCCTTAAACACCTCACCACTACCAGAGCAATGACATCCTCTTCTCCAGTGGACCTTTAGGATACTCCCAGTATGTGAGAGAACAAATGCTGCAGCTTGGAGCGGCCACATCGATCGCGTGCAAATTGTTGGGCATAAAGGTTTAAACAGTTGAGCGGCATGTGCATTTTCTTCGGTGGCACACTGTCTTAAAATTGCTGTCCTCTGCTAAGTAGTTACTGACACTCATGGAACAGCTTGATGTAAAAATGCCTCGGCTGAACTGCATCTATCTTTCTTTCTTTGCCTCTTTCTTTCCCTCTTTCTTTCTATCTTTCCCTCTCTCTCTTTTTCTC